TCTCCCAAAGAGAGAACACAATAGGAAGTGTGCAGAAAACGGAAGTCTTAGAGTGTTCTATGCACAACAAATTTAGGGAAACAAACGTATGTCAACGATGTCCCTTGAGCCAATAAGATTCTCTCCTGAGGTAGTGGCCAGTCCCATTGGCTGTTGGCTCAGTGAGTGAATGTAGCTAAGAAATTCAAATTACGATTGATTGTCTAGCTCAAAGTGTTAGCTCGCGCATAGGCCGATCGATAGCCTATTGTGGACGCCGCTATGGTTTGCAAACTACTGCTTGCGAAGGCTGTTGTTAGGCCGCCCTAATAAACTGGACTTAGATATGACTTAATATAATTTTTGCATTCTTTTATCAAACGCTGCCTTAATGCAGTCCGCTTGAGCTCAGTTAACCCCCCCCCCCTCCGTTTCACCCTATAACAGCCAGGACCACGCCAAGAAGACGGTGACGACGGAGTCGCACCCGCATCTGTCAAGCGCACCCATGCCCTCCATCCATCCCTGCAAGCAGGCCGATGTGATTCGCAAACTGATGGAGACCATGGCCGAGGGAGGCGCCGAGCTGGGTGTCCACCAGTACCTCCTGATCTTCCTAAAGTTCGTCCAGACAGTCATACCCACGATTGAGTATGACTACACCCGAAACTTCAAGATCTCCTAAACGTGCCGTTGCATTCCGCCTACTCCTTTTCCTCCTTGCCCGTCCTGAACCTGAGCCTTGATTGGTTGATCCACATCCGTAGCCCCCCCCGCCTCCCCGCACCGCTCACATTGACCCGCGGTTCTAGGATGCGCCGTTATTTTTTGTTTTGCGGTTTTCACTTTTCTGTCATTTTCTTCATCATCATCATGCTTCACTTACTTTCATACCAGGCAGTCATGTCCCTGTCCCCTCGCCGCTCAACCCATCAACGGTGTTCTCTCTCTATCTCTTTCCCGCATTGTGTATGCATGGGCGCAATACCGTGCCCGAAGACAACAGATGGGCAGAATAAAATGCATTGTCTATCAGTCTTCGACTTTTAGTTTCAAGGCACAATTTGCCATCGCTTCGACCCAGTCATTTCCTTTGTGTGCAGGTTTTTTTTACTTGTTTTGTGGACTTCTGCGTCCTGGTAGAATCATGCATTAATTCGGCGGAATCGAGGGCGGTGGGGGGGGGACGTATAAACCAGTCTGTCAGGAGATACAGTGTACGCTAGATGGGAAAGAACTCTTGATTGACATGCCAGAAGAAATACAGGAAGGGAGACTGGTATACCGATTTCAGAAGTCCAGTTTGGCGAGTATACGTGTACTTTCGACAAATTCTCGTC